TTTCTTAACACGTTGGAAATATGCTACGAAATTAGTACAAGAAGTAATTAAGAAACGCGGTGGTACATATCGACGAAAAGAAAATTCAATTTTCTTTTATAAAATTGACGTCCAGTTACCAGGAAACGGTAAAATTGATTACTTGTATCACAACGTAAAATATGTATACAGAGCGTCCTAAAAGTTACTCAACCTCGGAAAATGAGGGGTTCCTGAGGCGATTTGAAGTAAATTTTTCCTTAGCGAAAATGCAATCCGCGGCTTCGTTCACGAGTTATTAACGAAAAACACTGACCAATGAGAGATCGCGTACGGCCGACGCACCGCCCTCGCGACCCCTGCCACTGCGTCAGACGGCCGGCGCGACGCGGCATTGGCCGCAAGGGCGGAGCGCCGGCCGCACTAGCTCTCCGATTGGTCAGGGTTTTTCGTTAATAACTCGTAAACAAAGCCACGGATTGAATTTTCGCTGAGGAAAGAGTTACTTCAAATGGCTTCAGGAACCCCTTGATTACCGATTTTGAGTAACTTTTGGGACATCCTGTATATGTACAGTAAATTCTCCCTAATTGACAATCTGAACGTCAATTAGGGAGAATATACGGTACTTGTTACAATTCGGCGTAATTAACTGTGAAATAAATTAAAAAAATTATAACAATTTCCTATCGGGTTTTCAAATTTATTGAATTTTCTGCAAGTGTCCTAATACTTTCGGAGGAAGGTGTATCGATGGTAATTGACCGGGACAACGGTTCCCGAAGCAATTAACAGCCGCGTTAGCGAAATATACGGGTGTCGGAAGCGTTCTAGGCTCCGGTGACCGACAGAAAATCACGCCGTCTGAGAGAATGGTTGCGGAGCGGCGGCGATGTGTGCGGAGAACCATGCCTAAATCCGTGTGACTAATTCCGCTACGTGCCCACGAAACTGCCGATGGAATTCCACGGAAACGGCCATATGTCTTTTGTCGCGATCGTTCCCGTCGCAAGAATAGAATCACGGGAGCGCCACAGTGGTCCCAGGCTGCATCGAAATTCTCGAACTCTTTGGAAAAAGCACGGGCAAACACCTCCATTTATCATGGTCGACATTCGCTTCAGCATATACGAAGTTCTTTATCGCGTCGAAACAGATCATGGGAAAGCTGAAGATCTTTGAAGACTCTGCTTAGGAGCCAGCTGATCTGGTCTCTTGGTCTCTGCCTGCTATACGAACGCATGGAATGCGTTCAGATGATCTACCTGGATCCAGATGATCTGCGCTTGATCTCAAAATGAAACGACTGTTGATATGTAATATAAATTCGTTGTTACTCATTTTGATTTCACTTGTTTTTTGTATGCTTTCCTATTGCATATTTTTTTATTATCTGTGCGGAAATTATTTTAATTAATATTATTTTATAATTTAATATATATAATATAATATATATTATATATATAATTTAATATTATTTATTATTAATTATTTTAGTAATTTCTCCCTAATTCAAGATCGCGCACAAAAATGGACAATTTGGGAAATGGAGATACGATTATTCCAGACCTGCGGCTCGATTATCAACTATTTGGGAGAAATTACTGTACTTGGCGTACTTTTTTTACTGCTTTTATGAAGTCATTTTAGAAGGACTTATCTTTAGCATTTATTATAACTTAGGGTATTATGACTCAGGATGTGTTATACCAACAATTATTATGGGTTCAGAAGATCTGACCGGATCTAAGATGGTCCGGACTTGGTTTCAAAATGAGATGACTTTCAAAACGTTTTAGAACCTCTTCATTTCTTCCTATTCATTATTATGTAATCTAGTGTGCCCTCTATTACACGAGCGCATTTGCATACGTATTTAAAAGATCTAGCTGGGTCTAGATGATGCGGACACGGTCCCACAGTGAATCAACTTGAACTACGGTGCAACCTCGAACCACATCCTCTATCATCAGCACTATGACTCAGCGTACTCTGTTATACGAACGGATCTTTCTTAGCTGGCGCTTAGAAGAGGAGACACGATCCTGCTCGCGCTTAGGTGCATAGCAGAATGACGACATCAGCTTCTGTGCTATCCGAGCAGCCTTGACACCTTGCGTCGCGTCATCATTTTTGTTTCAGGGGACGCCTCTCGGACAGGTTCGCGCGGATTACGTGAACAGAATTCGAAGCTGTCTGGAGCGGATACGGAGCGTGTCGGTCGCATTAGCCGTCGAATACGGCGCGGTTTTTCTCTATCCGCCGGTATCGCGAGGGCCGGTCCCGGGTACATGTGTTTCAGTCACGCCTCGCCGTCGATTCGTGTACCGACCCCGATTTTACGATCCGGCCCCGGCCGCGCTCCGCGGTGGGCCTTTTCACCGGGGCCCGGACTCCGGTCCCATTCACTTTCGCGTCCCGCCATTCAGAGATGTCTCTCGAGAGGACCACGAAATCCGGTCGCGGAGAGACCGCGCTCTGTTACCGGCCCGAGGGATCGGGCCCCGGCTCTCTCGATCGGATCTCGCGACGACGACCGTCCTCTTACAACCGGTACAACTGGGACTGGTTTTTCGTCGCGGGCACGGAGGTCGCCGGGCGGTTTTTGTCGCCCTTTTAAGCCGTCCGCGATAAATAAACACGGTAGCCCCCCCTCCCTCTACGCCCCTTCCCCCTCCGCCGACCGCTTCCGCTCCGATTCGATCCTCGATAAGCGACCGCGCGATCGCTCGATCGCGACCTATCGCGAGAATCCATCGCGGCTATACGTCACCGGACCCTTTCCCCACCGACAGAAAGATGCAAAAAGGGCCCGGTGACACAGGAGACGACGGAATCTGTCCCCGCGCGCGCCTCCCTCCATCGGAATCGCTCGACGATCGCTATCGCGCACGCCCACGACCGGCGAATCGGTGGCCGTTCACCGATTTCCAAAATTCTCGTCCTGCGGGACAGTTCTCTTGCTTTTACCTTTGCCTTTACCTTTACCACTGTCCACACCGAGCCATTTGCGAAGCCGTGTTGACGACTGACTCGACCATTTTTCGGGTCCTCGAAGGTGTTTAGTTGGACAGGTCTTTTCATCCCTTAAATCTGGATAGTCATCGATGTCAGGAAATTCGTGTCAAATGTCTTTAGTGGAGCTACGAATGTCTAAATTATGCCACCATACTTTCTGGACCATTTCCAAGGTTTACGGAGTTCGATTTCTATGCGGGCTGCTCTCACCCCCTGAACTTAGTCATCCACTGTTAGGAAGTAATACTTGTCAAGTACGTTTAGCTAAGGTTTGGTTCACGGAATCCGTGATAATGACTAATTTCTTAATTTACGACTAGAAGATGCATATTTATGAATTGTTTGTTCGACGTATGCGTTACTTGCGTCTGGACCGCAGATTTTTATGGATTTACGGCGAAAATGGGCGAGTAAAAGTGAAAATAGCGAAAAGTCTGAAGGAAATGAAAAATGTTGGTGTACTAAGCTCAATTAATTAAAATGATTCGGAAAAGAAATGAGATTGTACTTGGCACCCATGTCTTTCAATCGATGTGGAAAATTCGTATTTTGCATGAAGATCCGCCTCGTCCACTTGCTGGAAATATTACAATAACGCTCGTTCAAAGTCGGAATTAATCTCTCATTTATACTTTTGTGAACTATTTTATATATATAAAATAAATATATGTAATATAAATATATTATATATCTTATTCATAATATATCTTACTATTAATTATTATTATTAATAATAATGTATATACATATATATAATATATAATATTTATATTAATAATATATAATAATATAATATTATATATAGCATTATAATAATATTATTATATATATAAAACAGCTGCTTTTAGTGTTCTGTAAATCTAGTGTTAAATTGCAAATGGGTGAAACGTTATCAAAATCTGTGAGCGAATATTTAAGTGACACGGTTTGAGAAACTGGACAGGTCTCGGTGTAAACCTTAATAATTGTTATTATTCAACATTCTTTGGTAGACAACGAAAGCTTTTGGTACTGATTGTCCAAGTCGCGGTTCTGCCTACCTTGACAATTTTCAGGGCTCCCAAAATCCCATTTTCAAGTGTAATTTCATCCCCAGAGTCTATGCATCCAGCGATGGAAGAAACTACGTGTCAAGTGTCTTTACTGAAGAGATACTACCCTCCCCCCCAGATCTAAGTTATAGATTTAATGCCCAAAAGTAAGATCTAAAAAGTGAATCGAAGTAATCTATACCAAGCTCCGTGTCACTGCTCGCGTCAGCAGAATTACTCGCAATCCCCTTTTGGAATTTATTGTAATCGAACGTCATAATAATAATAATAATAATACAAAAATATAATAATAATAATAATAATAATAAATAATATATATATAATAATAATAATAAATAATATATAATAATAATAATAATAATAATAATAATAATAATAAAAATCTGTAAATGATGTTCGATAGAGATTTGACAAGAATCCGTGGAGACTTCGTAACTCTTATCACGACATCCTCTCGCAGACAGCGAGGCTTCTAATCCTCGTGCCACAACCATTTTTACTAGAACGAATCGACGACCACCTCCAAAATATTCACGTTCGCCTAACTGCCCCGCAAAGGGGTATTTTCATCCCCCGATCCCAGGCATCCGCCTAATCCTAGCCACATCGAATCGAATCGCGGCTTCGTCCAAGCTGGCGACGCACGGAACGTGATCGACGTCGACGACGGACGTTCGGACGACGCGGCCGACGGGAATCGTTGGGTGCCCGAGGGGGGGATCGTTGCCGCGTAGACGGCCGGTCTGGCGGATATCGGGCGTTCTAAGCACGATCGTCGACGGTGTTCCCGCGTCGGCCGTCGATTGTCCATGGGAGTCCATGGGACTCCGCGCGGCTGTGTTGCGGTGGCACACCGGCGCACAGGTAAGGGACGAAGGGGACGCAGAGAAAAGCCTCTGTCGGCGGAGGGTGACGGAGGGGTGCGGGGAGGGGGAGACGAATATCGGCCGCACGCATGCGCGTTACGTTCCGCGATCTCTCAGGCCGGCGGCCGGAGAGGCTGGCTGAGGCCGGCCTCAGTCGGCCGCGACATTCGGTCCGCGATACGATTCGGTGTGATCTCTGTGTGCCGAACTCTCTCTCTATCTCTCTCTGTCTTCCATCCTCCGCGTGTCTCTCTGTCCCGGGGGCGAGATAGGAGCCAGTGGTGCGCCGGTTATCTTTGAGGACGACCCGACGCGTGTCGGTCGACCCTACCGAAGAGCAGGCAGCGCGATCTCTCCCGATCGTCATAGAGAAATCGTTCACCAACGTCTAGGAATCGGCGAGGCAAATTTAGCGGAGAAGCCGATCGAAGCTCGGACCGAAAGGCTGGCTCGCGCGATGCGCGCGTGAGACCGGTAGCTAGAAGCCGACAGACCGTGGCTCGGTATCGGCGGGGAACGTGATCGGAATAGACGGAGGGAAGAGGCGGTGTCCGGAGAGCTTACCGTTGCGTTCACATTTTTACGGAATCGAGTGAACTGGAAGCAGGCCAGGAGGAGCCGTACGCGAGTGTGTCGCGTCGCACGGCCCGCGCCGATTGATTCGTTTTGCGGCAGGCACCGCGATCACCACGTGGATCGGACGGTGGTACTCCCTCGCGTGTCCACCGTTAAGCCTATAACTCTCCCTCTCTCGCTCTTTCCACCGCGGCCGGAGAGGTCCCTCGGATTCGAGCTCGGATTCGGTTGACCGCTGGCCGAGAGCGATCGATCGCCATTCGATCGGACGATCATTGATGCCTCGACCGGGACACGCCGGAGAGTCCCGGATCTTGGTGAGCCGACGAGACGCGATCGGGATCGTGGGAGCGGCCGCCGAGGGGTCGTTGAGCGGTCCGCGGGCCGAGGATCGGGCCGGGATGATGTAAGGTGCTTGAGCGAGGGGACAACCGATCGGTAGACCGAAATGGCGCGCGACAGGAGGCTGCTGTTGCTCTCGATGCTGCTGATGGCATGCGGGACGCTGGCGGTGGAGGCGACCAGGTACCGGGACCACGAGGACCCGGAGAGCAACCCCGGCGGGTCGAGGCACCGGCATAGACACAGGCACGAGCCCGTGGCCAGGAGAAGCGACCGCCACGAGCTGGCGGAGAGACGGTCGTCGTCTTCTTCTTGGTCGCAGGAGCTCGACTACGATGACGGCTCGATGGCCGATCGCGAGGACGAGGGCCAGGACAATTACGACGCCGGCCCCTATTTCGAGAGATCGTATCCGCGCTCGGCGAGGATCAGCCTCCACGGCCGGATGTTCGAGCCGCGATACCCGGCCAGGTACCATCATCGCGGCGGCCATCGAGGCTGGTTCGACGAGGACGAGGAGAGACGCAGGGGTTCTCCGCGGTGGAGGAGCTACAGGGCCAGGAGCCATCACAGACCGAGGAACAGGGACTCCTCGGACTACGACGAGGACGAGAAGTCGGCCAGCTACGAGCTCGACAGGCATCACAGCTGGTGGAAGAACGGCAGGAAGCACAGGATCGGGCCGAGGCGCGACTGGTATCCGGAGAGCAGGAAAAGACACCGTCCCGACGACCCGGACGAGGCCAGGAGGATCGACGAATGGCGGAAGAGGACCAACTCGTCTAGAAAGAGGACCGAGGACACCGAGGACTACGAGTACCGCGTCGACGACGCCGACGTCGACGAGGAGGAGGACGCCTGGGCGGACGACGAGAGCCAGCCCGATGACGACGAGGAGTTCGACAACGATTTCTTCAAGCCCGAGAAGAAGGCGCCGCTGAAGACGTACGACGATATCATCAGAAGGCTCACCGCCGAGGACCCGGCCACCGTGAAGCCGGCCCCGAAGAGGGACTACAGGAACACCGGGGCCGAGAGGTACGCCAAGCGGGACGCGTTCGCTTACCTGAAGATGGAGCAGAAGAACGAAACGAGGCCCCTGGCCCAGGCCAAGACCGCGTACAAGAAGATCGTCGAGAACTCGTCCAAGCCGACGACGGACTCGCTCGCGGAGAAGAAGCTCCCGAGGAACGGCAGCCTCGATCATCATCACCAGGAGAGGAGGTCGAGATCGAAGACCGAGGAACCGCAGCCCAAGACCAAGAGCCTCGTGCCGGATTACGACGAGTACCTGAACACGCCGGACAACGAGAAGGACGAGGACCTGGCCAAGGCTGGCGTCGAGGAGGACACCGGCATGCAGGCGGACGTCACCAACGCGGTGAGTTGCCATTCGTTCGAACGAGAACTTACCGATATTCTGTGCTTCTCTCTCTCTCTCTTTTTTTGCTCTGTAGAGACTTTTCTGTTAGCTCTGCTCAGTTGGGCTTCCTTTTATATGCAGATCTGCGAATTGCGAAGTTTTGCAAAATATTGTGAGAGAGGATGAAAACTGTGGCCTCCGCGAATTTGGAGATTGCCATGGACCTCTGTTCGATCAGAACTTCGCGCGCTTATAGTGCTTGCAAATTTCCGAACTGCTAGTAGACAGATATTAGATTTTAGTTGAGTCTTCTAGATTCTGCTAGATTTTGCTAAATTCTGCTAGATTCTAATACTAGATTTTGTTAAATACTGCGAAATTCTGTTAGATTCTACTAAGTTTTTGTTAATTACTGCTAAATTCTGTTAGCTTTTACTAGACTTTTTGCAAAATACTGTTAAAGCCTAGTCTAGATTCTATTAGATTTTGTTAAGTACAGCTCAATTCTGCTAGATTTTACTAGACTTTGTTAAATATTGCTACATTCTGCTAGATTTAGTAAAATATTACTAAATTCAGATAGACTCTGCTAGACTTTGCAAAATATTGTTAAAGCCTACTCTAGATTCTCTTAGGTTTTGTTAACTACTGCTAAATTCTGCTAGATCCTACTAGACTTTGTTAAATATTACTAAATTCTGCACGCGATGTAGTAAATTATTGCTAATTTCTGCTAGATTCTTCCAGACTTTATAAAATATTGTTAAATTCTGTTAAATTTAGTAGAATATTGCTGAACTCTGCTA